CAGGGATTTTTCCATAAACCGTTTATAACGATTTTATCGCCTATATCCGTTATTTTGCGGACACACTGTATAGTTGAAAACGTCAAATTTGAGACTTCAGAGGTTTTAAAAGCATTACGCGAGTTATAACGAAAGATATGTTGAAATTCTTACGGATCATGATTCCTAAGACATTTTACAATATTTTTTGTCCATAACAATTTTTTCAATCGTTCCCACATCTTGAATTATAACCTATGTTTTAGTTGAAAACGTCAAATTTGAAAATTTGATGATTTTAATCCCAGTACGTGATTTATAAGTAAAGATGTATTAAAATTCTTATGGATCATGATTCCTAAGACATTTTACAATATTTTTTGTCCATAACAATTTTTTCCATCATTCCCACATCTGGAATTATAACCTATGCTTTTGATAAAAACGTCAAATTTGAAACTTTGATGATTCTAATCCCAGTACGTGAGTTATAAGCAAAGATGTATTAAAATTCTTATGGATCATGATTCCTAAGACACTGTACAATATTTTTAGTCCATAACAATTTTTTCCATCACTCTCATATCTTGAATTATAACCTATGTTTTAGTTGAAAACGACAACTTTGAAAATTTGGTGATTCTAATCCCAGTACGTGAGTTATAAGCAAAGATGTATTAAAATTCTTATGGATCATGATTCCTAAGACACTTTACAATATTTTTTGTCCGTAACAAATTTTTCCATTATTCCTACATCTTGAATTGTAACCTATGCTTTAGTTGAAAACGTCAAATTTGAAAATTTGGTGATTCTAATCCCAGTACGTGAGTTATAAGCAAAGATGTATTAAAATTCTTATGGATCATGATTCCTAAGACACTTTACAATGTTTTTAGTCCATAACAATTTTTTTCATCACTCCTACATTTTGAATTATAACCTATGCTTTAGTTGAAAACGTCAAATTTGAAAATTTGATGATTCTAATCCCAGTACGTGAGTTATAAGCAAAGGTATATTAAATTTAGTATATTAAATTTTTTTTGCCCATAACAATCTTTTCCATCATTCTCACATCTTGAGTTATAACCTATGCTTTAGTTGAAAACGTCAAATTTGACACTTTGGTGATTCTAATCCCAGTACGTGAGTTATAAGATTAAAATTCTTATGGATCATGATTCCTAAGACACTTTACTATATTTCTAGTCCATAATAATTTTTTCCATCACTCCCACATTTTGAATTATAACCTATGCTTTACTTGAAAACGTCAAACTTGAAAATTTGTGAATTCTAATCCCAGTACGTGATTTATAAGTAAAGATGTATTAAAATTCTTATGGATCATGATTCCTAAGACACTTTACTATGTTTTTAGTCCATAACAATTTTTTCCATCATTCCCACATTTTGAATTATAACCTATGCTTTAGTTGAAAACGTCAAATTTGAAACTTTGATGATTCTAATCTGAGTACTTGAGTTATAAGCAAAGATGTATTAAAATTCTTATTGATCATGATTCCTAAGACACTTTACTATATTTTTAGTCCATAACAATTTTTTCCATCACTCTCATATCTTGAATTATAACCTATGCTTTAGTTGAAAACGACAACTTTGAAAATTTAGTGATTCTAATCCCAGTACGTGAGTTATAACATTAAAATTATTATGGATCATGATTCCTAAGACACTTTACAATATTTTTTGTCCGTAACAAATTTTTCCATTTTTCCATCTTGAATTGTAACCTATGCTTTAGTTGAAAACATCAAATTTGAAAATTTGGTGAGTCTAATCCCAGTACGTGAGTTATAAGCAAAGATGTATTAAAATTCTTATGGATCACGTTTCCTAAGACACTTTACTATATTTTTAGTCCATAACAATTTTTTCCATCATTTCTACATCTTGAATTATAACCTATGATTTAGATAAAAACGTCAAATTTGAAAATTTGGTTATGTTAATCCCAGTACGTGAGTTATAAGATTAAAATTCTTATGGATTATGATTCCTAAGACACTTTACAACATCTTTAGTCCATAACAATTTTTTTCCATCATTCCCACATCTTGAATTATAACCTGTGCTTTAGATAAAAACGTCAAATTTGAGAATTTGGTTATTTTAATGCCAGTACGTGATTTATAAGGAAAAATGTATTAAAATTCTTATGGATCATGATTTCTAAGACATTTTACAACATTTTTAGTCCATAACAATTTTTTCCATCATTCCCACATTTTGAATTATAACCTATGCTTTTGATAAAAACGTCAAATTTGAAACTTTGATGATTCTAATCCCAGTACGTGATTTATAAGTAAAGATGTATTAAAATTCTTATGGATCATGATTCCTAAGACACTTTATTATATTTTTTGCCCATAACAATTCTTTCCATCATTCCTACATCTTAAATTATAACCTTTGTTTAAGTTGAAAACGTCAAATTTGAAAATTTGATGATTTTAATCTCAGTACGTGAGTTATAAGCAAAGATGTATTAAAATTCTTATGGATCATGATTCTTAAGACACTTTACAATGTTTTTAGTCCATAACAATTTTTTCCATCATTCCCACATCTGGAATTATAACCTATGCTTTAGTTGAAAACGTCAAATTTGACACTTTGATGATTCTAATCCCAGTACGTGATTTATAAAATTAAAATTTTGATGGATTATGATTTCTAAGACACTTTACAATATTTTTAGTCCATAACAATTTTTTCCATCATTCCCACATCTTGAGTTATAACCTATGCTTTAGATAAAAACGTCAAATTTGACACCTTGGGGATTCTATTCTCAATACGTGAGTTATAAGACTTATAAGGAAAGATGTGTTAAAATTGTTGAATCATGATTCCTAAGACACTTTACAATATTTTTGTCCATAATAAATTTTTCCATTATTCCCACATCATGAATTGTAACCTATTCTTTAATTAAAAACGTCAAATTTGACACTTTAGTGATTCTAATCCCAGTACGTGAGTTATAAAATTAAAATTTTGATGGATTATGATTTCTAAGACATTTTACTATATTTTTAGTCCATAACAATTTTTTCCATCATTCCCACATCTTGAATTATAACTTATGTTTTAGTTGAAAACGTCAAATTTGAAAATTTGATGATTTTAATCCCAGTACGTGAGTTATAAGCAAAGATGTATTAAAATTCTTATGGATCATGGTTCCTAAGACACTTTACAATGTTTTTAGTCCATAACAATTTTTTCCATAACTCCCATATTTTGAATTATAACCTATGCTTTAGTTAAAAACGTCAAATTTGAAAATTTGATGATTCTAATCCCACGACGTGAGTTATAAGGAAAGGTATATTAAAATTCTTATGAATCATGATTCCTAAGACATTTTACAATATTTTTTGCCCATAACAATTTTTTCTATCATTCCCACATCTTGAATTATAACCTATGCTTTAGTTAAAAACGTCAAATTTAAAAATCTGGTGATTCTAATCCCAGTACGTGAGTTATAAGCAAAGATGTATTAAAATTCTTATGGATCATGATTCTTAAGACACTTTACAATGTTTTTAGTCCATAACAATTTTTTCCATCATTCCCACATCTAGAATTATTACAACCTATGCTTTAGTTGAAAACGACAAATTTAGTGATTCTAATCCCAGTACGTGAGTTATAACATTAAAATTCTTATGGATCATGATTCCTAAGACACTTTACTATGTTTTTAGTCCATAACAATTTTTTCCATCATTCCCACATCTTGAATTGTAACCTATGCTTTAGATAAAAACGTCAAATTTAACACTTTGGGGATTCTAATCCCAGGACGTGAGTTATAAGCAAAGATGTATTAAAATTCTTATGGATCATGATTCCTAAGACACTTTACTATGTTTTTAGTCCATAACATTTTTTTCCATCATTCCCACATTTTGAATTATAACCTATGCTTTAGTTGAAAACGTCAAATTTGAAACTTTGATGATTCTAATCTCAGTACTTGAGTTATAAGCAAAGATGTATTAAAATTCTTATTGATCATGATTCTTAAGACACTTTACAACATTTTTAGTCCATAACAATTTTTTCCATCATTCCCACATCTCGAATTATAACCTATGCTTTAGATAAAAACGTCAAAATTTAGAATTTGGTGATTTTAATCCCAGTCCGTGAGTTTAAAATTAAAATTCTTATGGATCATGATTCCTAAGACACTTTACAACATTTTTAGTCCATAACAATTTTTTCCATCATTCCCACATCTCGAATTATAACCTATGCTTTAGATAAAAACGTCAAATTTGAGAATTTGGTGATTTTAATCCCATTACATGAGTTTAAAATTAAAATTCTTATGGGTCATGATTCCTAAGACACTTTACAACATTTTTAGTCCATAACATTTTTCTCCATCATTCCCACATCTCGAATTATAACCTATGCGTCAAATTTGAGATTCTAACTCGTGAATTATAAATTGTGAATGATAATAAAATTAATATCCATACAAAATCCTTAATAACAAATTTTTCAAGTCGTTTATTTAACGACCATAAAACATCTTTTTAAAATTAACTCTATAAATAAATACGTTAAAATGTGTCAGTGCTCGTAAAACTTGCTTATTTAACATCCTTTCGCATTAACGACGTTCTCTTTATTATTTCTTTGAAACAATCCTCAATATTAGCTTTTTCCGCTTCTTCTTATTCTCGATTTCCTTTCAAATCACCTTCGCGACCCCCACAATTTTTCCATAACTCACCGAAACAAAAATTACATTCTTGATAAGCTCCAATTACTTCACCCTACTTTAAATACCTTCACAAAGTCATTACCTACATTCATCACAATAGGTACGTTTTGCTTTCACAACGGGAATAGTACACAATGGTACATTTCCGAGTGATTAAAAATTAAAGTGTAATTGCAATCGATTATAATCAACGTAATCTACTGTATATAAACTGTATATAAATGTAATGCGGAGCGAGAATGTTATTAGTTGTTGTGTTTAAAGGACTTCGTCAACACTAAATTTAGTAAAGTTGTGAAAGTGAGTCAATTTTTAACCCGAATTATTCGTGCTGCGAAGAAGGAAGAAGAAGAAGTGGTACTTGTTATAACGCAAAAAAGAAAGTCTTATTTTGGAGAGAACATTCATCAGTTTGCTTTTGCCAACGAAACATAAAATGTCTTCGCTTATTTCGTCTCAAATACTTTTGGCAGAAAGTAAAACAGAAAAATCAAAAAATTTAATCAAATCTTCGAATCAAAATCAAAACAACCAAGTTTATGTATGGGATATAGTTTGGTTCAACGTCGCTTTTTTATCATATTTTTATTTCTGCGGAATATACGGGTTGTATTTAGCCATAACCTCGGCAAAATTTGCCACAAATTTATGGAGTATTCTATTAATGGTTTGTGGAGCTCTGGGAACCACCGCCGGATCACATCGATTATGGTCTCATCGCACTTACAAGGCTAATTTGCCACTAAGAATAATCTTGGCGTTTTTTGCAACGATTTCTTTTCAAAATCATATTTATGAATGGGTGAGAGATCATCGAGTACACCATAAACACACCGATACAGACGCTGATCCTCATAACTCTTCGCGAGGATTCTTCTTCTCCCATTGTGGCTGGTTGATGGTGAGGAAACACAAAGATGTCATCGCTAAAGGAAAAAAGATCGATTTGAGCGATTTAGAAAAAGACCCTGTGGTTATGTTCCAAAAAAAATATTACGCGATTTTGATGCCACTTCTTTGCTTCATTCTGCCATCGGTAATTCCATGGTATTTTTGGAACGAAACTGGAGTTGTTTCGTATTACGTAGCGGGAGTTGGAAAATATATTTGGGCTGTTAATGGAACGTGGCTTGTTAATAGTGCTGCTCATCTTTATGGAACGAAACCATATGATAAGTAAGAAAACATTTTATAACTTTTAGACATAACTCAAAATTATATTTGTTGTTGTCAGAAATATAAATCCATCGGAAAATACATTCGTGGGTTATTTAGCGTTAGGTGAAGGATGGCACAATTACCACCACACTTTCCCATGGGATTACAAAACTTCGGAATTTGCTAATTATGGCCCAAATTTAACGACGGCCTTTATCGATTTTTTTGCGTGGTTGGGGTGGGCTTACGATTTAAAAACGGCTTCGGAAGAGATGGTTAGGAGAAGAATGTTGAGGACTGGGGATGGAACGAAACTTCCGCCAGAAGAAATTGGCAAAAAATCGAGTTTGAAAGAAGATTTAGGACTGAGTAGTGATAATATTTGGGGGTGGGGTGATATTAATATGAAATCGGTTGATTTTCAGTATGTTAAAAGATTCAATGTGAAATAATTAAGTTTATTTGTAATTTGGGGTTTGGTTGTGATTTGTAATTGTTAATAAAATATTTGATTTATACCTCTATTAAAATCATATTGCTTCCTAAGTCATTGCAATATTGAGAAGAATACGAAAATTTTAAAATTTAATATATTTCCTTGTTTTACTAGTAGCTAGAAGGATGTTACAAAAATACTTTTAGAGCTAAAGTTGTAGCAAATTTTATTCTTAACAATATTGCTCTCTTGTATATTTGCTCTTGGATGCGTCAATATTGAGAAAAATACGAAAATTTGATAAATTTCTTTGTTTTACTATTAGCTAATGGTAACAATTGGAAATCGAAGCATGTTATCAAAAAACTTTTAAAACAAAAGATGTTGCAAATTTTATTGTTAACAATATTGCTCTCTTGTATATTTACTGTCAGATGCGTCAATATTGAGAAAAATACGAAAATTTGATGAATTTCTTTGTTTTACTATTAGCTAATGGTAACATTTGGGAATGGGAGCATGTTATCAAAAAACTTTTAGAACAAAAATTGTTGCAAATTTTATTGTTAACAATATTGCTCTCTTGTATATTTACTCTCAGATGCGTCAATATTGAGAAAAATAGGAAAATTTGATGAATTTCTTTGTTTTACTATTAGCTAATAGTAACATTTGGGAATCGGAACATGTAATCAAAAAACATTTAGAACAAAAGTTATAGCTAATCTTATTCTTAACAATATTGCTATCTTGTATATTTGCTCTTGGATGCGTCAATATTGAGAAAAATACAAAAATTTAAAAATTTGATGAATTTGGTTGTTTTACTATTAGCTAATGATAACATTTGGGAATCGGAGCATGTTATCAAAAAACTTTTAGAACAAAAGTTGTTGCAAATTTTGTTATTAATAATATTGCTCTGTTGTATATTTACCCTCAGATGCGTCAATATTGAGAAAAATACGAAAATTGCAAAATTTGATGAATTTCCTTGTTTTACTATTAGCTAATGGAAACATTTGGAAATCGAAACATGTTATCAAAAAACTTTTAGAACAAAAGTTGTAGCTAATCTTATTCTTAACAATATTGCTCTCTTGTATATTTGCTCTTGGATGCGTCAATATTGAGAAAAATACGTAAAGTTAAAAATTTGATGAATTTCTTTCTTTTACCATTAGCTAATGGTAATATTTGGGAATGGAAGCATGTTATCAAAAAACATTTAGAACAAAAGTTGTTGCAAATTTTGTTATTAACAATATTGCTCTCTTGTATATTTGCTCCCAGATGCGTCAATTTCGAGAAAAATACGAAAATATGAAAATTTGATGAATTTCCTTGTTTTACTATTAGCTAATGATAACATTTGGAAATCGGAGCATGTAATCAAAAAACATTTAGAACAAGAGTTATAGCAAATTTTATTCTTAACAATATTGCTCTGTTGTATATTTGCTCTCAGATGCGTCAATATTGAGAAAAATTCGAAAATTTAAAAATTTGATGAATTTCCTTGTTTTACTATTAGCTAATGGAAACATTTGGAAATCGAAGCATGTTATCAAAAAACTTTTAAAGTAAAAGTTGTTGCAAATTTTATTCTTAACAATATTGCTCTCTTATATATTTGCTCTCAGATGCGTCAATATTGAGAAAAATAGGAAAATTTGCTGAATTTCCTTGTTGTACTATTAGGTAATGGTAACATTCGGGAATCGGAGCATGTTATCAGAAAACTTTTAAAACAAAAATTGTTGCAAATTTTGTTATTAACAATATTGCTTTCTTGTATATTTGCTCTCAGATGCGTCAATATTGAGAAAAATACAAAAATTTAAAAATTTGATGAATTTCCTTGTTATACTATTAGCTAATGGTAACATTTGGGAATCGGAGCATGTTATCAAAAAATTTTTAGAACAAAAGTTGTAGCTAATCTTATTCTTAACAATATTGCTCTCTTGTATATTTGCTCTTGGATGCGTCAATATTGAGAAAAATACGAAAATTTTTAAATTTGATGAATTTGGTTGTTTTACTATTAGCTAATGGTAACATTTGGGAATCGGAGCATGTTATCAAAAAACTTTTAGAACAAAAGTTGTTGCAAATTTTGTTATTAACAATATTGCTCTCTTGTATATTTGCTCCCAGATGCGTCAATTTCGAGAAAAATACGAAAATATGAAAATTTGATGAATTTCCTTGTTTTACTATTAGCTAATGGTAACATT